TGCTAATGGTTGGAGATTAATGATAGGATTACATTAGTACATTTAGGACTGTGATTAGTTAATTCCTCACTGCTGGAGTGCACATGTAGGACTATTTGCCGCCCTGCCTAGATCAGAAAAACAGAATGGACGCAACAATGGTCTGCCTACTGTGATCTATTCTTTCACTAGCTAAACCAAAACTGCCAAAAATGAAATTTTAAACAGTATTTTTTTTTACTCTAACTACTAAATTTTAATCAAGGGATACAAAAAGCCAGAGCACCTTACCTAATAACATTCTAAAATTGGAATTTTCACAATCTTAGTAGTCAATTGCCTATTTTTCTCAATTCTTAATAGTTTTTCTCAAGTAGTAATTAATTAAACATAAATGCCCCTCATCCCAATTCATTTTCATTTCCCACTAAACAGCAAAACATCAACTGTATTATCAAGTGAAAAATAAACAAAGCACCCAACAAAAACAAACAAACAAACAAAAATAGAAAAACACCCTTCAAAGTACCTCTAACTTGTGTGATGCATTCTCTGGTAAAGATTCAAAGATTAAATCTTCAAGTGACTTGGGCTGGTTTGATTTAGCTTTTGCTGGGAACAAAGTTGGTGGTTCACACCGAGCCTGGAAACCCTCAAGTCCTCCGGCTGGGTTCTGCTGCATGAGTTTTAACCTCTTTCTTTCTTTCCGGATTTCCTTTGCTTTTCGACAGGGAGGTTTACTCAAATCTGCCCCTTTGCCTAAAAAAGAATTTCAAAATATTAGACCAATCACATTTGGCTCTAGAAATATTTTTTTTTAAGTTTCAACGATTCTACAGAATAAGTCCACAGAATCCCGACTGTTAGGTTAGCTTTGGGTGGATGCTCCGGAGGACCGCAGTGGAGAGCTCCAAGGTAAGTTCTACCTTAGAAGCAGGAACTGCCACAGAAGGTAGACAGTAACAGAAACTTTTCAGGCAGCTCTTACTGTTGAAAAATATTTTTTCTTATAACTATTCATCCACTTCTCTGCCTTTGTGAGAAGAAAGAACCTTCCACTTCAGGACACTGCTGTCTCCAGCTCATTTCTGAGACACTTCTCCGAAACCACTGGTGACGTAGATAAATGCTTAGGAACTGGGTGTAAATAAGTACTGATCCCAGAACATACTCTGGCAGGTTTTTTAATAAAAAAGAATCCTTGCTTAGTTCAAGATCTTTGTGTCTCTCTTCATCTATCTGAAGGGTCTCACTAGTTCGGCTCTAGTTAATCAGAGTTTTGCTTTGATTAAAAGAACAAATATCAAACTGGTAACCCTTTAAAATATAAAAACTTTATCATAAACCATAAATTTTAATAAGTACCCTTTAATCTAGGAAGCCGTCTTCAAGGAATCCATCCTGAGAAAATCATAACTATGAACACAAATGAAAACCTCAAAATAATCTTAATGTCCAATTATAGAATAATTACAGAATTTTTACAACAGTAAGCAATAGAATACCATACAGTCATTTAAAATGCTTTAGAAATTTTAGGGGATTTGTCATTATTCAGTATTAAAACATTATGTATAAATATATATACATTAAAATATTTAGGAAGAAATCTGGAAAGAAATATACCACCATGTTATCAGTCATCTTACTCAGGTTTAGAAATAAAGAAAGGATTTTCCCTTCTCTTTTTTTTTTGTAGTGTTCTCTTTTCTCCAATTTTTCTAACACTAAACTTTATAAAGTTTTAAACGCTATCAGTGAAAGTTTTTTTTAATTTAGGATCCTGAAACACAGTATTCACAAATCATATAAAAGTCAGCACTAGGAAGGTTTACAAGACTAGCAAGTTCAATTTTATAGAGAAGGAACTTAAGACCTAGACTGTAAAGGGACCTGCCAGAGACCAAGAGCAGGTCAACAGAAACAAACCTGATGAGAAAACAGTGAACTCACTGACAGTGAGGCTGCCGTTACAACTTCACTGACATGTTTTCCACCTAAAAGCAAAGCTGACCTTTAAAAAAAGATACTGAGTTTAAGTCTACTAAACCAGCAACATAAGAGTGATTCTGTAATTAGCCACCACTCTGCCACCTTAGGGAATTCATTTTCTTCAGCCAGGGGATGTATCTTTCCTCAGGTTTGTTCTGAGAGACACAACAGCGTATCAGTCAAGAGCACACACTCTGACATGGGCTACCTGAGGTCAGCTCTGTCACTTGACAAGACGACCTTGGGCAAGCTTCCTTGTCTGTACCAAGAAAGATAATAACCAGTCCCACCCATGGAGTTCTGAAGGATCAAATGAGTTAACGCAGGACAGCTCATAAAACAGTATCTACTGTTCACTGAAGGGTCATCTTCTTATTCACTATCATATATATCACGAGTACCTAAAGTAATGTTCTGCCTATATAGGCATTCTGTAAATGTATTATGAAAAAATACCTGCATTTTCTATAGTTACTCAAAATTACATTCCCTACCAAAGTTTCCCAATTATGAACAAATTATGAAATTATCTAAGAATGAACTGAGGAGCAACTTTTCAGTATTTTTATGAAAGATTACCTCTGTCAGCTTTACACATCTCATTCATTAGACTAAGCAATCTTTATCATGGTCGTTTCATACTACATGTATGTACTATCATGGTGCAAACTACAATGCACAGCAAATCAGGATTTCAGTTTATTTAGGGGGCACAGATCTCCCCAAGTTAACAAATTCCTTCAGCGGAATAAAAATAACTCATCAGTGTAAGATCAGCACACCACACCAACCCTGTACTCACAGGTTCAAACCACTCAAGAATCCTAGATTAGTCTCCAGTGGTTTTAATACAGTTCAGTAGGTAGATATGCATAATTTCTAGCTAAGTTCAAGGGAATGTACTTTTAATACTGTTCAAATAAAATGAAAATGCAAGTTCCCAGAGAAAATCCAAAACAAGCATTCCTATGATTTAAAAGAATAGTCTCACATTCTTAGTGAGAGATGTCCTAAGGGGGAAAAAGAAAATTGTAAAAAAGTGTTTAAATGTTTCAGTAACCATACTACTGGAGGTAAGGTTAGTATTATAACTCTAAAACTATTGCGTAATGTTGGATAAAGCAAATGGGCAAATACCATCTCCAATGTCCTTGAGAACTAGGTTACTCGGTGCAGGAAAAACAAGATACAAATGCAAAACAAACAAAAAAGATAAAAATACTACAGTCCTGAATTCGATTTGAAAATATCAATATGAATTCATGAACCTTTAAGCCTGCTCACTGAAAAGGACTAGAAAACAATGACCAAGCCAGTAGCAATAATGGCCACATCCAACCTAGTTTGTGATCTCCAAGTACCATTTTCCATCAAAAGGAACCAGGACTCCTTGGAGAAATGGCTGTACAAGATGATCCAGGAGTATCACGTTATACCAGATAGCAAGGAAGCTGTCAAGACTAGCACAACTGTATCTTAAGGACTCAGAAGCCAACTTAGAGAAGCTCCCATAGGAGCAAAGAATTACAACATAGCAAATGTGTTCAGATCCATGAGTTCACAATGATACAAAAAAAAAAAATTAACTGGTCACTATTAGAAAATGTTATTTTGAAGGATGGAAAATAAAATGCAAGAATCAAGAATTTATCTTATGGGAAACAAATAGATGCAAAGAAAGTACTCTTTTTAGAAGTATTTCAGTCAGTAAATGAAAAATAAATGAAAAAGTTCGAAAATCTAAGGGATCAATGGATTTACACACTGACCACCCATGGCTAGCAGCACTTAACAAAAAGAGGCACCCAGACACTGTATGTCTCCTGAAACAATACCCCACCACTCGTGAAATAATCCTCAAATCCTCACCAATTCTTAAAGCAATAATCTGAACTTGAATCTGATTAAGACTTGCCTTCCTCCAAAAAGCAAAAAAAACCCCAAAATTTAATCTTGAATCTGATCAAGGCTCTAGATCAATTATCAACTTACAGGCAGCAGAGGAGCATGCGAAAGCGCATAAGATGTGATGGGTCAGATACAGAGACCGGGACCAACAACCCAGAACAAACAACCCAGTTTCTTCAATAAACAAACGGCAATAAAAAAGTGGGAGTGATGAAATGAGAACCTATAAATCTAAAGAGATTCGGATCCCAATGCAAACAATTGTTTAAAAATTAGAAATTTACATAATGCATATTCAGTTAACAGTAAGGAATTTTACTTAGGTTTAATAATGGTATTGTGAGTATGTTTTTTAAAGTACTTTGCTTTTAGAGATGCATTCTGAAATACAGGATGATATAATGTCTGAATCTGCTTCAATACAATACTGAAAGGGGGAACTGGATATGAGTTTAGCTGACTGGCCATCATTTCAAAGACAAACAAGCTCAGAGAAAGAGATCAGACTTGTGATCAGGTGCAGGGTTGGATGAAGGCAAGTCAAAAGGTACAAATTTCTAGTTATAAGAGTAAAAACATACTTGAGATGTAATGTACAACATGATAAATATAATTACTGCTGTTATATATTAAAGTTGTTAAGAGAGTATACCCTGAGTTCTCTCCACAAGAAAAATTTTTTTTTCCTATTCCTTTAACTTTTTACCTATCTGAGATGATGGATGTTCATCACAATAAATTTACTGCGATAATCACTTCGTGATGTAACCATTATGCTGCTCGCCTTAAACTTATACAGTGCTGTATGTCAATTATCTCTCAATAAAACTGAAGAAAAAAAAAGAGTGGCCACCATGAGTCAAAAATTGTCTCAAACAAGGGTAGGGTACATGAAAACTCATTATAATACTCAGTCTACATTTGTCCATGTTTGAAATTCTTCAAAATAAAGGTTTTTCAAATTTTATAAACTAGAATTAATTTTTATAATAAAAAATAAAAATAGTAAACAGACTGACCCTAATGCCCAAGAGAGTAAGAGTTGAAAGAAATTATCTAAGTCATTCAAAATATTTTATTGGACTAGTCTTATCAACTAGGATGAACTCTCAGACCAACATCAATTTAAATACCAAGAAATCCTTACGTTAAAAAAAAAAATTCAATAAAGATGCGAAGTTTTCTGCGCTTAAACATATGTAACTTACAATTTAAACAAAAAAACTAAAATGGTATAAAAATCTCTCCCTTGGATTATTTTGTATAAATAAATATAAGAACAAATTCAAGAACTGAAGCAGAATAACTATGCAAATTGACATTTAACCAAATAAATTTTGAAAGAATCATATATACACACATATATATAATAAACCCATTTAATACTGGATAAATTTTCTAAGCCTATTTTTTTATAACTGATACAGAAATAAATCTTACCATATTAAAGGTGAACTTAAATATCAAAATCTGTAAATTTTTGAACTCTAATTATGATTACACAAAGAAATCTAATGATAAACTGCAGATTTTTACAATGTCTACGTTTTGGACATAGTATCTAAAATTTACTTTGTCTCACTCAACACCAAAAATTAAAACATTTAGCACCATACCGTCTGACAAAAATTTGATTCTCAAGCCTCTAGGGCCTAAGGTAGCAAAAAGAAATGGAACTCTTTTAAAATGTCTGTGTTTGAGGATAATAAGGCTATTATTTCAGGCTTTTTAAACAAGATGATTTGTTCATCCAACTCCAGGTAATAACACGTTGTGTAAAACAGTGATCTGTTTTACAGATTTCATGAGTAATTCACTTTTTGAGCTCATGAGAGGGCCCAGGGATTGCAATGTCTCAAACACCAAAGAAAATCCTTTAGTATGACTTTAACAAGGTCTGACAACAAAGTTCCACTACCTGGCTTAGGGACTGTATGCACTTTAACTGAATGTGATGGTTCACCAGAGCCCAACTTCTCTTCTATATCTTGTGACTGAATTAATTCATTAGATTCTTCCTTCTTTGAGCTCTTTATTTTCTTCTTCTCTTCACTCTCTAAGCTCTCTCTGAAGTCACCACTGAGCGTTCTAAGGTCACACTGTGCATCCAATTTCGTTATTAATGCAAAGTCACCCGCAACGGCATCCTCCACGGTGGGCTCCATAGGCTCATCTACAAACCAAAGAAGATCCAAGTCCGTCAGCCAGGCTGTCTGACACAATTAAGACACACATGGGAAAAATGCCCCTTTTCGATTCAACGTGGCAGAGACTAGTGAGCGTCCACCAAATCCATCCCCCTGTCTTCTGAAGTCAGAGCTGCAGTTAAGACCATGATGTGCTACAAGGGAATGTACTGCCAGTCCCTTCACAGGTCGTAGCTAAGCTCCTGTCAATGGAATATAACCACCTGAAATGTCCAATTGTGACTCGCTTGTTTTTAAGGAAATCTATGATCCTGAACTTCCACCCTTCCCCCTCCCTACTGGCTGGATTAGCAAAAACCAGAGTGACTTTGGAAATGATATGTTGAAGAGACTCCCAGAATGGCTGAGGGGGGAGCAGAGCTGCAGATGGATCTGGAACACCCTCACTGGACTGTTATATGAGGAAAGAAACAGACTTCTATCATTTTTCAGTTTATGCATTTTGGTGTCTCTTTGTTAAACTTTTACCCTAGTAAGTATTAGCACTCCTATGAATTAAGTTACAGGTATAAATAACTCAGAAGTCTACAAGTCAAATAAAGACTTAAATGTAAAAGCTACATAAAAAGACAGGCAATCCTCAATTTACAAATGAACAACCTGGGGAGGGTATAGCTCACTGGTAGAGTGCATGCTTAGCATGCATGAGGTCC